CGGCCTCCGGCCCCAATTCCCGGCCAGGGCAGCGCCCCCGTACCCCTTCCCCGGCCCCGCCGCGAGGATCGGGCCCCCCTCCTCATTCCCCCTCCCCAGGGCTCGGCCTGGCCCTGGGGGCCAGCTGAGGGGGGTCTGGCGGCCCCCGTCCCTTCCTCGGAGCTGCCGGGGCCCGGCCTGGCCCCGAGGGCTAGCAGGTGGGGTGGGAGACACCCCCCCCCCTTCCCTTTGCCAGAGCAGGGGGTCCTGCCCAGCTGTCCCCCCCAATGCAAGGGGATTTCCCCCTGTGCGGGTAGCACTAGTGGTACGCGGTCCCAGCGCGGGGGTCACAGGTGTCGGAAAGAGGGTGCTGTGGGGGGTGACACAGCCTGGGCCCTGACTGGGACTGTCTCTGCCAAAATGTGCCTGGTAAATGTTGTGCGTGGTCAGAGAGGGGCCGAGAGGACAGCAGGGCCTTTGTCTTAACCCTGAAATGCGAGGAGGCAATCTCGGCCGGTGAGCTGGGGGGTTCCTGTTACACCTGCTCGAGTTTGCAGGCGTCCGGGGAACGCCGTCGCTTTGCTCTCCAGCCCTCCTGTGCCAGGCTAGGCAGTCTGCTCTCTAGATGCTCTTCTTACAAGGCAGGTGGCAATCCACGTACAGGAAAGCCTGTAAAAAGTGCGGTGGGGTGGGCAGCCTGTTCACGGGTCTCCCAGAAATTTGTGCGAGCAGATCCCGGGTACAACCGTGTCATTTCCCTGCCCGGAGGATGTTGCGTTTCTCTCTTGAGGTGACAACACCCACAGCGTTTCCATTGCATTTCAAGGGACACGTGCAGGGACCTGTGTCTTCTCCCTCTCTCTTTGGGTGACCTTAGCCATCATGGAGCCAGGGCACTGCCTGCACTGGCAGAGCCAGGCATGGGGCAGGACCCCGGCCGGCTGTTCTCCCCCGAGAAGGATGGAGGCTGCATCCTGGGGCAAGAACTCGGACACATCACGGTGTCATCGCTAACAGCAGTGAACGCACACCGTGCTCTCCTTATGGGCTTTTAATGAGTTGACGCTGTGCTGTCTTTATGGGCTGTTTGTGAATTGAAACCGTTCTGTTTATGGGCTTTTATGATGCTGATTCTGACGTTAAATATACATGATAGGCAGAAATGTCTCCTCTGTTGTTGTTTTCCTCCTCCTGAAGGGATATATGGGCTGTGTTAAACTTCTGTGTTTATCATTAATGCATAGTTTTATAGTCAGGACTTCCTAATTGAGGAATCTTTTCTAAAACTAATATTGATGCTTGAGGCTGAGAAACAGTGCTCTTGTGGTGGGTATCTCTCCCTGCGGGATTCTGTGCTGCGAATCTCTTGCCTCTCACTTGGTGTGTTGTTACTGGCAGTTGTGAGCTGTGCGCTAGACGAAAGCCAAGCTTTGAAAGGTGGCTGTTGGCTTGTGGTGGAGGTAGCATGGCATGTTGGAAACTGCCTTGCCAGAGCACCGAGGAGCAAAATCTTAAAAGTGACACATCTCCAGGATATTGGATGCTTGTGCTTCCAGTGAACTGGTCAGTGTTTTCAGGAGTAATATTTTAGTTTCTACCTGTGGCTGGGAGGAGACACAGGTCACTGAGTTACTGATGGTGGGTGGCAGTTTTCCTCTCTGCCTTCTCAAGTCTCTGTCCCAGCTCATAGTGCCAAATCTGCAATGAAAGATAACAGGCCTCCTTTGTCTCAGGTCTGAGCGTGAAGGAGAGGGGAAAAGTGTTTATCCAGGAACTTCCAACTTTGGGGTTAGAATATAAGTGCTTTGGACACTCCCCAGTTAATAGGGATATGAGGCAGAAATGGGGTATTACAGGAATCTACTAACTGAAAAATTCCTGAATGAACATAATCTTGTAGTGATGTGTAGCCTTAAGGGATTTGTATAGTGTAGATTTTCCCCTCCTGTTTGTGTCCGTAGGAGGCCTCAACATTTGGCTGTATAAATTCATAAAGAAACCATCTGGCATTGCCATAGGCAGGAACTGTGTTTCTTGCTATATGGTCTCTTCCCCAATACTTGGTGTCACACTCATACCAGGATGTTTTAGCCACGCTTTACCAGTTTTTAAAGGAATTCTTAAAGCATCTAAACACTTTGGTTTGAATTTCTGGGGAGATGCAGTGTTTGGTTAAGATAAGTCCTTTGTTCAGCTCGTGAAAAACACAGCACTGCCTCACCCATATTTCAGCAAATCTGGGACAATCGTTCAGCAGAGTAAAGAGGGTTTTTGTGGTTATTTCCTCCATGTGAAGAATAAAAAGAGGAAAGAACTTTCAGTGTAGCTAATGTTGCCTCTTGTAGTGCTTTGTTTTCAGAAAAAGGAAGTTTGAAACATGACTTTGTAGTTTTTGCATGTCTTGATCATTCTCAGTTCTCAAGATAAAATAAAAAAAAAAAGTTTATTTGCTCAACTCCACCGAGTTCTGTGATTGAATTTGTATTGCGTGGTTTCCTTTGGCGGCCAAATTTAAAGATAGCAACATCTCCAAAGAGAAGCGTTCCCACGAACCTCCACTGTGTGAAGTGAGCTGACATCTACACAGCTGACGAGACGTGGAGGAAGTGAGTGGGCTCTGTGTGCGAGGAGCTCCTCTCCGTGGGCAAGGCTGTCATGGATGGGTGGGCAGAGACTCCAGAGCCATTGACACAGGAGGAAGGGTGTCCCGGTGAGATTAATCATCTTGCACCCAAGGATAGTGTGGCTTGGCTCTTTTTCTCCTTGTAAGAAGGTTCCAAGGTGGAGAGGATGTTGTGACAGTACCAGAGAACAAGAGCGATAGTCCTTTTTGTGGAACAAGAGTAGCTGTTGTCTTGCAGACAAATTAGTGTGGCTTTAGAAAGGGCAGAAGGAATAGTAAAAGTCTAGACAGGAAACACTTACAGCATAGGTCAGGATTTCAGCAAGAGGGAGGTAAGAATATTCTAGGAAATATTGCTGTAGAAGAGCTCAATGTCCTCATTAATGTCCAACACCCCCAGTAAAATACTAAGAGAAATTACATTAACCGTTCTTGCCAGCTTTAATGTTAAACAAATATTCCAGGTGAGCAATAAATCAAGTAGATGAATTTACTTCTCTTGCCACGATAGTTGGTCATCTTTTCCTACCTTCTAAAAAGGCACTGTGACACAAGGAGACCTGCTTGGTCTGAAGATTTAGAGCAAGGGAAGGAGGAGACAGAAAGAAAAGTCACAAGGAGGAGTACCCTGTAGAAGAACGGCTGGCCAGATGTTCCTGGGTGCTTTGGAGATGGAGCACTACCAAGGCACTCTTTAGTGTTTGAGGTATGGGAGGAACTGAAACTGCTGGCTTCATAGGAAATGTTCCTGCTTTTAGCAGAAGATGTGTTAGCTTGGTGTTTTGTATAAATCTCTAAATATTTTTAAGTGGACTTGGATAGTACTTACATAGTGAAAGTGAAGGAGATTTTTGCTTCCAGTAATCCAAAGAGTAAATCTTACTAGAGCTGTCATCTTAGCGGACAGGTCAACTGCACCTAAAAATGTTTTTCCTACTATGTAATTGATTGGAGAAATACACTGAAGAAGTAATAAGTGGTTATGTGTCATTCTGGAACGACGTCTGTAAGCCAGTTCACAGAAGTTTCTCCTCAAACAGATACTGCTTGGCAAAGTCCTTTATGATGTTGAAAATGGGATATAGAGAATGCATATTGAGTTTGCAGTTGATACCCTTCCAGTCAGATAGGATTCAGGCTCCTCAAATAAAGAGTTAGCAATCCCAGTAATGTGGACACATGAGAGAAATATCTGGCAGAAGGATGCAGCTTTGAAAGGACAGGTGCAAAGTGTTCTGCTGAGGTGGAAATAATTGTCTGCACAAGTACGAGAGGGTGAAAAACAGGGTGCAGGAGCATGTGAGCAGGAAAGGAAATGAGTGTTAGAGTAGGTTAAATGACAAGTGAATCAGCCATGCTGTCTGTTATGGAAGAAAGATTAACTTGTGGAGATACATCAACACGCAAAGCATGCGAACCTTGATACTTGTGAAGTCTCGCTGGACTGTTGTGTCCTGTTTTGCATCCTTTTTCAGGGTAGGTATGGTCTAACTGGAGAGTAGAGCTAGTAGAGCCTCATATGAACAGTCAGAGATCTAATAGGGTCCACAAGGAAATATTGAATATTGGCCTTTATTTAGTTGAAGGAGAGGAGAGGGGAGTGTGACAGCATACTTTGGAAATGTAAAAATTTCCAGCCAGACAGGAGTAAATTGTCCACCTCCTTTGGGGATTAGAGATATGGCTTAAAACACAGTGAGGGAAATCCATTGGACATCAGGGATGCTTGTTGGAGATGCTTTGTGTGAAATTGATCCCACCCTGGGACCCAAGGAGGGACTAGATGGCTGCGTAAAGCTTTTATCACTTCTTCTAGTGAGCAGTCTGCTGCCTAAGCATCAAATGACTGGCGCAGCTGACCTCATCTATTAATTGTAATCAATTATAACAATGGTGAATTTAATGAGTTTGTGTATTTAATGCTTTAGCAATGTGCATCTTTTGACTCAGACATGCACACAGCTAATAGAAGATTAATACTCGTTGCTGCTAACTGATGCTCTAGGTTTAATATGGTTGTGGTTAAGCCTTCACATTTATAGTAAAATGGCTAAAAGTTGCTAGGGTGGATGCACGCATGGGATAAATCCAAAGAGACGTTAGCAATATCTTACTTCTGTGCGGTGCTATTTTTTTTCCTGGCTCTGTTTCCACGCTCCCTTAGGGACTGAGTAAATTGAAGTAGGCAAATACGAGTAAATGGTCATGTTGGGTGTCCTCTCTCCAAGTTTTGCTGATAGACAGCTGTGATCCGAAAGGGGTGATCATAGCAGAGATCAAGCCCTGCAGCTGTTGCTGGCAGTTCCAGTGCACTGCTGGACCCTGTGATGCTGCAGGTGGGATGGTTTTGAGCCTTGTCTCCGCGAATCCAGTCCTCTTCGGTGTGGGAAGGGTGGTTTTTTGCACGTTCCTTGTTAGCGTCTGTCTGCAGTCTGAGCTGGTCACATGCTGATAAGCTTGTTTTTATGAAATGAATTTGTTTTGTGGTGCGATAGGCTACAGCCTAAACTTTCCTATTTCTCTCTTTTTTTTTTTTTTTTTTTTTTTTGGTTCTATTGAAGAGAGTATCTTTGACCTCACTTTAGTAGGCTTGGGAAAGAGTCATGGTAAAAGAAGGGTGATAATTGGGGTGAACTGTTAAGTGTGGGTGGATGTAGCTGCATGCTGTATTTCTGTAGTTGAGCCAACAATCTGCAGGCATGCCAAGGTCTATGAAGACCAGAGATGCAGCTTGACTTTTGCTGAATATAGATCTTACCTGTCGGGGAGTGAATACCCTAACAGCTTACCTCAGCGTCTGGAAAGCCATAACGGCTACGACACGTTTCGATGGTTTTCAAGCTCCTGCACGACATGGAACGTACATGAAATTCCTACTGTGGATTTGGGGCGGGGAGGGGAAGATGAGTCACATCTTCCTAGTTGCCTCCAATGCTTGGTAATTAAAGGCAGTCTTTAATAAGACAAGATAAATACAGTGGATGCAATTGTTTTTTTTCTCCTTGGAAATACAATCTTAACTAGTGCTACACCCAAGAATGAATGATAAGAAGCATATTCTCAGTAGTGACATGTAGCACAACCCAGATAGTAGCCTTGGCCAGTGGCAGGAAGCACCTGAATACAAGAAGTCCTGTAAGTTACTGAAAAATTTATTGCAGACTGTTGTGCTTGAGAACCATACTTACTATATTGCAATGAAGTTTCTCAAAAGGGGGTGGAGGAAAAGCTACAAAAAATAGCCTATCTTTGGAAAACAGAATATAAATATCTTCAAACATCTTACGTGGAAAACAGCTGAGTATCTGGGTTGGGTTTTTGCTGTCACTTCTGCCTTAATTGCTATGAATTAAACCACCTTTACTTTGTACTGAAATTTATGGATGAATTCTCATGGATAGTAACCATCTTGACTGGAGGGTAGCATCTTAACACCAATGTGGTTGCAGGAACCTATCTGATAATGCCTTCACAGCATGCTGGAACGTAGCGCTTATCTAGACTGCTGCAATAGCTGCAAACTGCCTTGTCCTTGCTAGAATTTCGCCTAGTGCTAATCAGGTCAGGCTATGTTTTTCTTCACTGGGTGAGATAAGGTCTGAATGTGTCAGTCACTAGAAGGAACATTGGGTGCTAGGTGGGACTAGGGTGGCTGGCCAGTGTATTATTGGATTAAGGATGTATCTCTCAAGATTTGTGTTTCTCAGTAGGAAGAAGGCCTGTCCCCTAGTAACTAGCCTTTTTAGGAGGAAGATTTAGGACCAGGGTTGTTGTCTCTTGCATGTTCTAATTTCTGCTTCGTTGCACTTGTCCCTTTCATTGGATTTTTGATTAACTAGTCTGGTGCCCTCTTTGAGGGTTGCTAGTGGTGCGTGAAATGTTGCATGGGACAGTCAGCATGGCAATAGGTTCTTTATAAAGTGAGGGTCAATGCCATGGGGATATCTGCCAGAATGGATGCTTTTGTCCTGGGCAGTGCCAGTGAAGCGGTGTGCTGCACTTTCAGCCACTGTGGAGCAATTTTGTCCTGGTGAGAATCCCACAAAACAAACTCTTCTGTACATCAACGGGCTTGTTGTCAGTTTGATCTGTACTGAAACGTGGGGTGAGAAAGGACGTCTTTGCCAGAAGAGGAAAGAGAACTGAAAGTTAAAGGGAAAGCTGTTTGCTGTAAGTTCAAACTTTTAATGTGAAGGCTGCTTTTCTCTTTTTAGTTCCACTAGAAAGGAAGGTGGTGCCTTCCTACCCTTATATTTTAGCTGGTAGTAATTGGAAGCACTTTGTTAATCAAGACAAACACGCCCTCCTCCTCTGATGGGTTGTGCCCACAATGAAGGGAAGAATAAGGCATTGTACCTGAAATAACCTCCCAAACTGGTGGTAGTGAATGGAGGGAAGGAGAGCAGAAAGTGGGGGGAGAAATGTCAGAGTATTCAGAGACTTGAAAATTGTACTCTTTCAGTGCCGTTTCTCTAAGAGGAAGCCTCTTGGTGTTGTACTCTTCCCAGAAATCCCTCCCAGTTTTCCTAGCTTTGTATGATGATTCACTCCTTTGTCTTCTGCTTCCAAGCTGCTTTTGGGGAGGCATGCCCCTTTCTGAGTGCTGCGAAGATTAACCATGCCCTGCTGTTTCTGTAGCATGTGTCCCAAGAGAGTCTCCAAAACTCTGTCCAAATGTCACTGGGTCACGTCCCCCCCTAATAAAGGCACTTCTGGATGGCAGTGGGGAAGTAACAAGTGCAGAGCAGCGACATGCAAGAGCTCGGGACCGGATACGAGCGAAATGTGTCTTTGGAAATGACAAATGTAGACAAGTGATTTGCCGGAGTATGTACTTTTTTGGTGGTTCATCCCAGGGAAGGAAGCAGCCCTTCCCCTGTTTTCGGGCCAAAGAGATATTGACACTGTACTTTCTGTAGCCTGTGAACATAAGGGCTATTTTCAGAAAGTTTCTCTCTGCTTTTTTAATACCTTTTTTTCCAACAATCACAGTAATTAATGAAGCTTCTGCTGCAGTATGTGTACCATGTTATTTCTTGAGAAATAACATAGCTCTGCCTGTGCTTGTGTGACAAAAGTGCTGTATTACAAGTAGGTGCACTGCAATGCATCTGTCTTCTCCAAACGGTTGTACATGTGCACTGTAACAGGAGAGAAGTTGAAAGCTGAATCTAACTGCTTTTGCTTGCTCTTTGGGGATATTGGTGGAAAAAATGCAGAAGTGGACCTGCTTTTCACTTGGGCAGTCACTTACTGGGATGCCTGTTTGGAAGTGCTGACCCGAGGTGACGTTTGTAGCATTGAGGTTGCGTGGCAGCTCGTGCTGGGGACGGGAGGAGAGGCTGCAGAAGCATCTGCAGGAGCCTGAACTTCATTGCAGCTTGATGGTGCTGGCTCAGGAAGGCTTTTGGGGAACCCATGGCATTTAAAGCCTGCATGGGGGCTCCTGCCCGATTCCCAAATGATGGAGCAGGTCTCCCATGGAGGCTTTGAGCACACAGTGCCTTCATGTGACTTGCGAAGCCACTGCCGCCTGTGGAATTGCAGTGTGAGTTTTGGTGGGTTTTAAATGAATGGAGGATCTTGGTCCCACTCGCAGAGTTTTTGGAGCATCTCGGAAACTAAACACACCCTCACCACCCCCCAGATTTGGTGATTATTTCTGGAGACAAACGGTGACAAGGAGGATAACTGTTCCCTTCCCCCTACCTTTAGGTCGGGAAGCTCAGGCTCCTCTGATGAGCTCACTGATTCCATTGCCATGAGCTAGTAAAACTGTTGCTCTTAATCCTGCCTGCAACCCTGGGCGACCAACCTCCTGCTTCCCGGGGGAGCGGCTCCTGAGCCAGGCACAGGCAGAGAAAGGCTGTTGATGGGAAAAGTAATTTACATGTGCAATTTATTATTGTATACATGGTCAATATAGAACAGTTGCTTGCAAAAACTGCTGCCTTATAAAGGACACTTGGACCGTAGGCTTTTGTTTGGTTCAGAGATCTGTCTGATGTTCTATATGCAAATAATTTATGAAGTGATCTGCAAAAGGGCACTTTGTTGCACGCATTTGTTTCACCTCATTTGTTTTTATAGGGTCCTTAAGAGATCTCTAAGAACATAATGAGTAGTATTGGCCTTGTGTCAGAAGCTTGGCTGTGATGTGCGGGGCGAGGGCGTAATGCTGAGCTCTGCTGGGCTGGCTTTGTGCCGCTGTGCCATTAGGTAGCGCAGGAACTGCTGGAGCCCCTGGGAGCTAATCTGGAGAGGCTGCATGGTCGAGCTGGTGCGGTTCTGCAGCTTTGTAGCGCAGGACACCTGGTTTTGACGCTGTCTTTCTGCGTGTCCTTGAACAAGTTCTCTGTGTGCTGACCTGCTTTGTTAAATGCTCTGATTCCTGCTGATAAAAAGTGATGGTGTAGGAGATAGATACTTGTAAGACAGTAATTGGAATGTGAAGCTTTCAATTTGAAACCTTCTGGAAAATTTGGTGTCTTCTCTGCTGTTTGTGTGTTGTTTTCTCTGGCCTTTTACAAGGCAATCTGAGATTTGCTCCGTGCTCTCCTGTGTGCATCAGGGCCTTTGGCTTTTTGTGTTCGAGTTACTGCTCTCTAAATGCGTGTGGTGCCTTCTTGGCAATGTGGTGCTATGCTGTCTCTTAAAAGTAGAGCTTGTAAGTATGCGATAAGAAACGATGCCAGTCTAGTGGCAGAGGGATCTGCTCTGTGCAGTGCTGCAGACGTGCACTGAGCAGCCCAGTTTCAGGGGTCTGTGATAAGTTGGAGGCCTAAACTGGAATCACAGGCTGCCTCATTCCTACTGACAGGGCTTTTCCTCAAGTTGTGTTTTCTTCCTTGTGCCTTGTCCTTCTGATTGCTTTGTTTCTTTAGCCAGTGTTTCTGTTCTGCCTTCTAGGTTTCCAGCAGGTTTCTCTGTTGTCTTCCTATGAAGTTGTAATCCCGCAGAGGTTAGGAAGAGAACGGCGAGAGGCTTCCAATGTCTCCTCAGTACAGGTACTGGGCAGTCTTAAAAATGCCTTCAGTTTAGTATCTGCTTCCTAATGAGGTCCACCCAAAACTGACCTGAAATTCTCACAAAGCCTTATCAGACTCATCTAGCAGCAAACAAGTATCCATCCTTACAAAAGGTATTACATCTAGCTTTGCCTTTAGCTGAGTTACGGTAAATACCTCCCTGCTCCAGACGTTACAAGTTGCCGCAATGGATTTTTGATCTGGGTCTAAAAGTTGTGTAATGAGAGTTTTTAAGCACTGGAACGAGTTTCTGAGAGGTGGTGGAATGATTCTCCTGGGAGATGCTCAAAATCCGACTGGACGAGGCCCTGAGTAGCCTGGGCCAACTCTGTAGCTGGCCCTCCTCTGAGCAGGGGGTCAGATTAGACAACCTCCAGCAGTACTTTCCAGCCTATATTATTCTGCTGTAGCCATGTAATGAAAGACTGCATGCTTCAACATATTTGGATTAGACCAACTGTGTTTAGTCACAAATCTTGTAAACATTGGCAGAACTTAATATTAACAAAAATGCTGTGTGGTTTATTGCAGTCGTTGACTAGTACTCCTGCTGGGATATTTAATGTAGTGATCAGGCGATTCAGCTTATCCACTTAATATTAAGGACCCTAGTTGCTGTCTGTAGCACTTGGCTAATGCGAGGCTGTGGAGGTGCTGGCTCGCTGTGAATGTTCAGTAATAAAACTGTATTGTCCTTTTCCAGCTGTAACTAATGTTTTTTCTATGGAAGTCTTAGGAACAAGGGATAAGAAAACCACAAAGCTATTTTGAAATAGCTTCCTTCATGTGACTTTTCCCCAGTTACACAGGAAGGGATGCCAGGTTCCGGAGGTAGGGACAGTTATAAAATAGGTTTTAGGCTCACCGACACGTGGTTATTCCTGGTCTGTTGCAACTAGTAAGATTTAAGAAGGAAAGTTTATTAGCTCAGTATCTGGCAATTTCAATGTATGGACAAGGCAGTCATTTTGTCTGCTGGATGTCAGGGAACCAGAGCAAATCATGATGGCTGTGGTCAGCTTCTCATTGCAAAGCCTTGTGGGCACAGTGAAGTTGGCTAGGAACACAAGGAACACCCCTTCCCCTGACCAGCGTTGGGGTACCAGCAAGAAGTGTGATGGCAGAGGCCGCTCAGATCGAGAGAGTTTTGCATCCCTCTGGGAGGCGGTTTAAATTTTGTTGGTATCAGCTGCATCTCCAGCAGGGTCTTTGCTGCCACAGCTGTATCTGAAAGGGCTAAGAGTACAGACTAGTCCCGAGTTACGGAAGGTGACAGTAGTGATTTGAATGCTATAGTCATAGCAGTAATGAAACTCACAGAGACTGTTTTCTGCCAAACTTTTGTTGATTTCAAAGAATGTTTTATTCATTAACATGAGTAAAATTCAACTTTTTTTTATATTCAGGACAAGGTGTCATATGCTATTGAGATAGAGGGAAAAGAATACACGATTCATCTAGAAAAGAACAAGTAAGTGGCTAATTTCTTTAGATTATTAAATTCCATCTATTGTGTCCAAACAACAAGCTGGCAGGTAGCACACGAGTTCCGATTCTTGAGGTTGTTTGTGAGAAGTGCGGTTACATGCTAGCTCTGCAAAATCTGCAGAGAAAGACGGCGAAAGTGGATTGAATTACAGTGTCTTGGCTATCAACCAGAAGTTTTGTTGAACTCCTGCAACCCTGGTGATCTCCTTTCAGTGAAGGAAGCAGTAGTTTGCTCGAAGGGGATCTGGGGAATCGTTGAAATGACTCTCTCTATTCACATCTAAAAATAAACAAACTGAACTATATTTCAAGTAAATATTTTTGCTTTCTTCTGGGTTTTGTTTATTGTTTCAGTTTTTTTTTTTTCCTGTCTCAGTAGCACAAGAATACTAATAAATGAGGAAGCTGACTTTATATCCAAGGCTTTAATACCCATAAATTACAGACAATATAGATGTTGTCTCTCTTGAGTTTAATTTTTAAAGGGCTACTTGCAGCAACAGCAAGTTACCATTTATCAGGCTATTGCTTCTTAAAACTACCCTCATAATAGAGAAAAGAGACAGAACTATTTAAATGTAAAAGCCCCTGGGGATCTCTAGCAGCCAGTTGCCAAGACCCTGACCCTCAAAAATATGGGAATTCAGCTATGCCGCATCAAGGGATTTACCAGTATGGGTCAGTAGTCTTAATCGTGGGAGACTTTCCCAATGCACTTCCTTCCAAAACTGGGAAAGAGAAGTCATATGCAGCAGACTGAGTGCTGTGGGGTTTTTTGTTTGTTTGTTTGTTTTATTCTGCATGAAAGCAAGCTTTTAGCACAATTTAATGGGTTTTGATGCTTGTTTTACTATTCCAGGGTGAGGTGGTTGATTTGATTTCATTAACGGTTCCACCATTCTGATATCTTGGATTTTGCTGTGGAAATGCACGATTTCTATGCTAATTTGAGGGGGGGGTCCTTTTGAATGTTTCCTTATTTAATTGCAATTTACGTATTTGTGACACTTTTGATTAGGATCATCTTACTGCCCTGCTATAGTGTCATAATCATTTCATGAAATTCCTCTTGTATTCCTTCTCCCCTTTCCTTCCAGAGAACTGCTGCCCAAAGATTTCACAGTTTATACCTATAATAAGGAGGGGAAGTTGCAATCTGAACATCCAGATATACAGGTAGGATTTCTTTCTTTTTATACCCTTACTGAAGGTGACTTGAACACTGAGCATCTACAGGATGAAGGAGTCGTGTTGCAAAATGATAGTGTATTTTTTGCTGGGCCCCCTTCTAATCCCGTGCACGCACTGCACTCTTCCTGGAGAGCAGCCTTGATTTTGGATGAGGCTCTAGCCTGGAGCTTGTAATAGACCTGTGTTATCTTATATGGAGGTGATTGCTGTCTGATTAAAAGCTACTCTTCTCTAAAAAGGAAATGCTTTTCTTAGCTGTCAGATATCTGAGAGTGGTGCTGTCCTTGCCATACAGCACAGTGCAATGTTGGTATCGCTTCTGGACACAGGCCTTGCTTCTCACAGGGACCAGAACATGTGGAGCAGAACTGAGGTGGTCTAGTAACTGAATATATAGCTTTTACTTTTACACACAATGGTCTTCCAGATTGGTCCACAAGTCAAAATGAACAGTCAGCTGCTGACCCATCTTTTCACTTGTGTGAAGCTGTCTGTCAGTGACTCTAAGAATTTTTGAGGGTTGACAGGCTATCTGTTAGTCCAGAAATTTGGGAACTACTAGAAGGGATGGAGGAGATCAAATCTGGAGGACCTTTGAGAGGGATGCTATCTGCGTAGCATTGGAGTTATTCCACTGAAAATGCATTTGCAGCCCTCTTTTTCTGTATGGGCAGGCTGCCTGGTAGGTTGCCTTTTGAAAATTTAATTGTTTCAGTAGAGTAAGAATAAAGAGCAGCTTGTGCAATACAAAAAGGATGAGAGTATTCCTAATGGTTTTACTCTTCTTATGTATCAATGTTGTTCCTTTGAAAGGGAAGCGTTAGTCATATATGATTCATAGGATCTCATTTTTGAAAATAGAGCACCTGAGTCTGTCTAACTTCCTAGTTAGAAGTAATCGACTAAGAGGAGAAATGCTTTTTCTGCGTGAGGTCGTGAAAGTCACAGTGGCCCTGAAGGATTAGCGCATGCCTTCAGTGCTTTCTGCATTCATTGCTGAAACAACAGGCGACGTAATCTACCTGACCCCTATAATTATGTTCAAAAATGCACTTGCCGGAGAAAATGGAGTGTATTTTCCCCATCCTACCCCCTTGTCTAGTTTCCAAAATATGTATACACAGAGGACAAAATGGAAATATTCTGCCTTATCAGGGCTGACGAGGGGTTTAGTGCACAACCAAAAACTTCTGGCAGCACAGTGCCTCTTGGTGAGGATAGCAGGTGTTGGCCCTCTTCTTGCTAGAGAGAGGTTATGTACAAGTCAAACATTCAGCGGGACTGTTTTCTAGAAGACTGAGTGGTGATTTGGCCCAAATCAGTAGGGAGGGGCTGGCCTCGAAATATTTGAGGCAGGGTGGAGAACAGAACTTAAGAGTGGGATGGTTTACGGTCAAGTTAAGAAATCCAGTTGCTAGATAATGCTTCTGAGCCCTGCTTGCCTGGTATTGATAATGTGTTGGTAGCACTGGCTCTGAATCCGGCTTCAGGTAGAATGACTGAGTGGGTGAGTGGGATTTTAAACTGAAATCTGTAATGAACTGCTGGCCCCATGGAGCTGTGAAGAGTATCTGCTTTACAGGATAGGGAGGTAGGGATCCAGTTGGACTGCTGTGCCCCTGTGGCATCTTGATTAGCTTCATATATGTAAGTCCTTGTGGCAGTAAGGCAGGTGAGGAAATTTTTAGATGCATGTTAGCAAAGAAAATGCTGTTATATTGTGGTAGAGCTAGAAGCATGTTAGAAGCTACAGACTGTAGATAAAAGGCATGTGGTAAATTTAACTTAAAGCATATTACGTTCTCAAGTTGTAACTACTACCGGTCAGTGGCAGGCATAACAACTACACGATCAGAGACACTGGGTGTGCAGGTGTGTGTGGAGTATGTGTGTAATGCGCCCTTGTTTTCCCATGTAGGATCACTGCCATTACCAGGGATACGTGGAGGGGACCCTGGATTCTGTGGTTGCTGTCAGCACTTGCTCGGGGCTCAGGTAGCACAGCTCATCTTTTGTGTCCCTGTTGTCACGTGAGTCTCGCGGCTCACTGAACCTGAAACAAAATTCTTGCTCTGTTTTTAACTACTGTTCAGCCAGGCGGGGATTCATTGTCTGGGGCCAAGCTGCAATAGTGTATGCCTTTGTGCAGTCTTTCTCTGGTATCTTTTATTCACGTGGTTAATAGATATTTGAAATACCATTAAATAAGTTGATTAATGCAGTTTGTTTTCAGAGTACAGTAAGTTGTTCTTTGATACAAATTTTGGCTTATTTTCTAGTTTACATAGATGGTCTTTACAAAGAATTGTACATAGTGCAGAAATGGAAACTTGAACACGAGTCTGCAAATTTTACAAAATTGGCCCTAGAGCTTGTGCACTTCAAATTGCATTGGAAATTTTTTCTGCTTTGGGCTAATTTCCATATGTTTTGGGACACTGATTTTTTTGCAGTGCCATGTCAGACACCAGAGTGGCAATAGTGTATTTGAACTAAAGCATCTCTGTTTAAGGCTTGTGATTTAATTTCTGGGGTGTTGCAGGCTCATAAAGAAAATATTTAATTTACTGTATTTGTGAAGGCCATATCCAGTGAAAGCCTGCTTTCAGGCTTGAAATGAAGCGTGCTGTTCTGCAAGGACTGAGATATAGACCTGCCTTTAGTTATCAAAGAATGACTGGTTTTTTGTTTTACTGTAAAAAATCTGGGTAACTATCCTCTGTGCTTAATGCAAGAATTCTCACACACTACCATATTTTAGGGGTTTGGTGACAATAGGGAACATCACCTATGGGATTGAGCCCATGGATTCCTCTTCTGGCTCTAAACACATTTTATATCGATTGGATAATGTGAAGAAAGAGCCCACGATGTGTGGAGTAACCACTGAAGACCATGAAAGGGAGCATACAGAGGAAGATCACCATCCCAGTATGACTCAGCTGCTGCGAGTAAGTACTCCACTGTTTTCTCCACAGTCCCCTATAATGGGTTTTGTGAGTGTTCAGCTAAGAATATGGAAGCAGCTTATCAGATTTCCTGGGGTTTAACACATACCTAAAGGTTTCTGATTCAGAGGGCTTTCTACACTGCTGAAAAACTCAGTTGCTTCGACAATGCAGTTGCAATTTCCTTCTGCTTCTGCACACAGCAGTGAGAGTCCAGTGGCTAGTTAGATTATTCATGGGCAGAGCTTTTTGGGGCTTTTAAGGGCAGGAACACTACCCTCATTGGAGAGGCTCATTAACAAAGTATTGCATCAGAAGCCAGGAGAATATCGTGTTGTTTATTGCACCCTTCTAACCATCAGAATAACAGTTTGCTGTGAAGGTCCCCCTTGTCGTTTAAAGACTGGCTGTACAGGAACAAGATTGCAGTAAAAGCAGGAGAATGAAAAACATCATGTTTCACTTCAAGGTTGTTGGCATTTGCTTGTTAGTATCTTTCTGCTCCTTTATAAAAGTGTATACTGCCTTTCCAAAGAAATCTGTGTGAAAAGTAAAGTTCCCTTGCTTTTGAAACACAACGAATCTTTATGCAGCTAAAGTTTAGTGTAAAATACTTACAGACAAATTGTCATTGCATTGGATTACACTTCTTGGTTTTGGCTTGTTTTTGTCTTGGCACAGTGTGCTTTGGGTGTGCCTCTCAAACCACTAGCTGTATCAAGTGAAATATGACAATGTCGTGATTTTTTTGTTTGTTTGTTTACACTTGAATTAATAAAAATGAAGTTGGCTAAAACTTTTTTCTGCAGAGAAAGAGAGCAGTCCTACATCAAACAAGATATGTGGAGCTGTTCATAGTTGTGGATAAAGAAAAGGTAGGGATTGTGTGTCGCTTTCCCTTCCTTCTCCCCAGGAGATGGCTTGAAAAGCCCTCAGTCTTTGTTACTCCCAAATGGATTGTTGAAAGACACTGACACTTTAGCCAAGGTTATGTAAATATGCTGACCTAAAACTGAATAAGCATGTTCTATGCAATACTCTTCAGGAAAAGAGTGAACCGTCAGACATGGAGAGTTTCTATCAGCAAGGAATCTAATAACGTAAGGAAAACACGTGGCAAAAACTGCCTTTGCAGTTTTCTCTTGCATATTGAGCTGTCGAGCCATAGCAATGAAGATGCTGCTGTCTTGATTAGTGTCTTCTTGACAGGAGATTTGGAGCCAGGCAAAAATGTTTTTCATGTTGCTAGTCTGAAAAAGTATTGTTCCTTTTTCTAACTCTTGTCTTTATCTCTTTATGACTAAGTTTCTTTGTCTTGCAGTTTGAAGATTTTGGGAAGAGCGAAACAGAAGTAAGAGAACACATGGTGCAGCTGGCAAACTTCCTTGACAGTGTAAGTTAAAGCTACGCTGAGTGTAAGTGGGAATGATGCTGTGTGCAGCAGCCCTGGAGCTCTGTTTACCTTTGTAAAATTCCACCTTGGTGTCTGTTCTGTTAACACTTTGGTGAGAATGAAATAAAGGTTTTTATCAAGCCAGGAGCTAACCTCTTCCCTCGGCCATCATGTTGATGACTGATGGAACTCAGAGTCGCGCCTGCACATTGTGCTGAAGGAGTGCCAGAGGAGCAGGGGCTGCAAAGCGATGGCAGTAATTATTGACAGCGGGTTTCGGTGAATGCATCACTATGAAAGCTTCTCCACCTCTAAATTCATCTGCAGTCATCACTTGAGAATTAATTTAGGGAACTCTTCCAACCTGCATTACATACAGTGAGAGACAGGACAGATTGTTGCAATTATTGCAATTCTTAAGTATTTGTCAAGGTTAGAGAAAAAGCATGTCTTTCAACTATTTCAGACAATGCTATTTGTCAGGATTGAGACTCCTTTTTATTTCTGTTTTGGCTTTTCTCATTGATCCTGTAGCTAATGAAAGTCTGAATCACAGGGAAAATGCATTCTGGTGATTTGAATTGTGTACTAAATTTTTAAAAAAACAACCAAACAAACAAAAAGCACACAAAAACCCCCAAACAAATCCAAACAGAAAGAGTAGATTCTTGCAATAAGATACATGATGCCAGACCACTTGTTCTTATCTGAAGGCCTTCAGAAATACTTCTTTTTTTTTTCCTCCCCAGATGTACATCATGTTGAACATCCGCATTGTGCTGGTTGGTCTAGAGATTTGGAAGTATGAAAACGTAATTAGCACAGACGGAGGTGCTGGTGATGTGCTGGCAAATTTTGTACAGTGGCGAGAGAAGAATCTTGTTTTGCGCCGGAGACATGACAGTGCCCAGTTTGTTCTGTGAGTTGCAGTTCTCTCCCTTTGACTTTTAAGAAGCTTATTCTTTTCCCGTCTGCTCAGCTGTGCTCTAGTATCAAAAGTAGCTGTTGTATTTTAGCAGAGAACCCAGTGCAATCTGCTTTGGTTTATGTACTTGTTAAAACATTCCAAGTCAACTTAAGCATTTTTAAGAAGGTTTCTGTGGTCCTTGAATTCAGTGTCCTCTCTGACAGGTATATTGCTAAATAACAATTTTTTTTTTCATGTCCTGCAATGTTATATGTTATATTGTATAAAGTTTCCTTTCAGATAATCCTTTGTCAGGTCGTACACCAGTTAGACTTGTAACCTAGGGCTTTTTCCACATGAAAATGAACATAAACCTGGTGTAAGAGTTGCATTTTAATGCAGAGAAAGTTGTTTCTGCAGTTGGTATCCAAAAGCTAGCTACGTGGTTTGAGCTTTGACACGTGATGTTAATGTGTCCATCCCTACTGCCTTAAACTAGCACAGAGCTTCCTGAGCTGTCGTCTCTGCCCCGCTTCCAGGACGCCTGCCCCTGTGCACTTCCCGCTCCTTCAGATTGGGCAGTGACTTCCTAAGGACTGCACTAAGTAGAGAGAGGGCAGAGGCGAGAGCACTGCTTTGCACGAGACAACAGCCCGGCCTGCCCTTGTGCAAAGCAGTAGCTCCCCTTCCTGCAGGACCTGGGAGCCTCTTTTCCTCTGAGGCAGAACAGCACCGTTCAGGTGATGAAGGTGATAATGGCTGAAAAAATATTAATTTTTAAAATTCTTTTATATGAAGTAAAATGTGGTGCACTGTGCTTTTGCGCTTCAGCTTTAAGAACTGTGTAGAAACAAAATAAGAGAGTAACGGGAAGGAAGTTGACAAGGAAAGAAATCTATGGAGTTTGGCAATAATAGAAAGGCAGCTAACAGCCAATTAAAACAAATGATTTTAAGGGTGGACCACTTAGCTCTCTATATTTGGAGGGAAGATGTGGAAGAGGCTAACTTTCTCTGCAAACTCTTGTCTTAATTTAAAAAAGAACCATGAACAGAAAGATAAAGCTGAACTGGTAGATTCATACTCACAGTCAATAATAGCGCTGCTAGCAGTGCTCCTTTGTTAGTGTTGGAAGGCTGGAAAAGCAGGATTTTGTGCTCCACAAGCAGAAGTGATGTACTGAGTGGCTGTACGGATGGGCTGCACTGTTGGCATATCGTGCGTCTGTACAGTTGGGATGATTGCCTTTCCTTTTTCTCCCCATGGCTGTAGGAAGAAGGGGTTTGGTGGCACAGCTGGAATGGCCTATGTTGGAACAGTGTGCTCCAAGAGCCACGCAGGAGGCATTAATGTGGTGAGATATCTTTAGTGATACTGTGAATGTGATCAAGATAAAGAGTTTTGCACTCCAGAAGTCTTCCTGGAAGTACAGAATCTTTAATAACAAAGCTGAAGTGGCTTAGTGGGGGCTTTTATGTGGTCCCCAACCATTTCTGGCACTTCAATGATATCTGGATCACAACTTTTCTGTGGTGTTGTGCATCCTCTGTTCAGCGTCCCCTCTCCTCAGTGTGCAGCACTCATGAAAAAGGAGCAGACTTTCTCTGGTGACATTTTAAGTGCCCCTGCCCTATAAGTATGTGGGAGCTGTGGATGTTCTCAAGTCTGTTGTCTTGTGTCTGCTTGACCTCCACAGTCGTGAACTCCTAGAGCAGTGCCGGTTCACTGCCCTCTTTATGTGAAGTTGCAGAGCGTTAATGAACTGAATTGCTGATCTCGGATAACTGGCAATTCCAGCAGTCTTGTTTTCTTGGACTAGTGACACAAGTACTGGAATTGGAGTTTGCATATTTAAGGAGATTTGGGCTGGTGTGGAGAACTATAGTTTTTGTGTTAATGTTGCAGCTGCACTGGAAAGTAGAGGTTGTTAGGTTGTGTCCCAAATATGTTTATCTAAGGGCTCTTATTACTAAGCAAATGACATGCACTTGGTTGGAAGGCAGGCACAGTTGGTCTGAGAATCCTGTTAATGTAGAGACAGAATGACAGAAGTGTTTTTTTGGCACAGAACACTGACTTTCTCAATATAAGCTGTCTGCTAATTTTCTTCTGGTTTGCTCTTGTGCAGTTTGGAAGAATCAGTATACAGATGTTTGCATCAATTATGGCTCACGAACTGGGACATAACCTGGGGATGAACCATGATGATGAACGCGTCTGTCACTGCGGAGCAAGCAGTTGCATTATGAGCTCTGGAGCATCGTAAGTGACTGACAAAACGGAATGCATTTTCTGAGGATTGAAACACCCCACCCATGCGCTTAGTTTTTACAGGTTGCTTTCATTTTCAAAGTACTCTCACAAAGAGTCTTGTCACACTTGCAGCTTATGGGGAAAGTAAATGTTACCCTTGTTCTACAAACTGAGGAAATGCTTGTGGGTTGGCTTAGTGTAAAGATAAGCTGATGTTCTCTGTTGCAGGGGATCAAGGAACTTCAGCAGCTGCAGTGCAGAAGACTTTGAGAAGCTAACTCTCAACAAAGGTGGAAGCTGCCTGCTCAATGTTCCCAAGCCTGATGAAACTTATAGCGTCCCATACTGTGGGAACAGGCTGGTAGATGCTGGGGAGGAGTGTGACTGTGGTTCACCAAAGGTTGGTAGCTTGTGTGTTTTACAAATGGTGCCAGGGTATTCTTGCGTGCCTCTCACTGGAGAGGGGACTGTGCATGGCGGAGGCTGCAATTTCTGGACATTCACAGCGCTTCTGTTTTCAGGAATGTGAAAGTGATCCTTGCTGTGAACCAGGTACTTGCAGACTCCGATCCGGTGCTGAATGTGCTTATGGAGACTGCTGTAAAAACTGCCAGGTAAGAGACTCAAGTGTATTATTTGGAAGTGTTCTTCAGTGGTTGAGAAAAGGAGAGCTTTGGCCTAGCCAGTGCATCTGTGACAGGGAATTGTCATGCATGTACACAGCACCCACCGAGGGCTTCAGATCAATGCCCTTTTGGGGGGGGCATATTGCGGGTCGGGTGCAGTGTTTGTCTCTGCTGTAAGGTTTCTATTTTCTGACACAGTTTCCCCTTTCCCTCTCTCTTTAGCTCCTTCCTGGAGGAACCGAGTGTCGGGCGAGTAACAACGAGTGTGACCTTCCAGAGTACTGCAACGGCACATCCCAGTTCTGCCAGCCGGACTTCACCGTTCAGAACGGTCACCCATGCCACAACGAGGAAGCCTACTGTTACAATGGCGTTTGCCAGTACTACGATGCACAGTGTCAGGATATCTTTGGCTCAAGTAAGGAAGAGCACAGTGTTACAATTTTTCTAGGAGATGTAGCTAAAAGAATAAGTTTATTTAAAATATACTTGTTTTCCTGTAACAAAGACCAGCTGGCTTTGGCAAAGGATTTGAAATAGTGGTATTTATGGCTTGGCCTTCACACGTTCTTCCTTTGTTACATTTAATGCTGTGCTGGTGATTCAAGTAGTTATTTTCTTGCACTGATTATTCCTATTACAGTGGGGCTCCTGGTGTATAGGGCTGTTAAAGAAGCCATGAAGAAATATCAAATGGTATAATTGACTCAGTGTTAAGTGACTATTTTTCTCTCTCTCTTTTTAAACCTGCAACCTTGTAGTGCTGACATTTTCACCTCTTTATTGTTTTGATGGGGTTCTTAAGCTCTCTGTGCTGCATGGAAAATACTACACGTAGCAGGATAATTTCTCTGAGTAAAGGAGACATGATAATATGAGATGTTTCTGTCCCTTTGTAACTTGGTTCCTCTGTCTGGGGGGTGGGCTGTTGTTTGCAGAAGCCAAAGCAGCCCCCAACATTTGTTTTGCTGAGGTGAATTCCAAGGGTGACAGATTTGGCAACTGTGGTTTCCATGGCCATGACTACAAGAAATGTTCCAGCTGGTGAGTTGAGCCCAGTGCATCAAGAAGTTCCTAAATGTATCACTGAGAATCCTTATTTGGGTGCTGTAGTATTAGTTTGGGGTGTTTTAGCAGTTGGACTGGGGAGATGCATGTTATCCCAGAATCTAACCTTACTGACTTGTATGTATCATTGTGAAACCATGATGAGATAGCTTAGAAAAGATATGTTTTATGCTAATTTCTGAAGCTGTTATTAGTGCTTAAAGCCCCCACACTTATGCAGTTCTAAGTTTTGTTGACTTTTGTTTTAGATTGTCTGGGGTTAACTCTTGCACATAATAGTTGAAATGAATTTGAATGGTCAGGCAATTCTTCCCTAGCTGAGTTTGAAACTTTCAGGCTCGTGCCACGGTTTCCTGTGTGTGTGGTGTTCTGCGGCCTCAGTGGATCTGTGCATCACGCATTCAGACGTGGGGCTGTGGCAAGGAGAGTGTGTCCCACATCTCCCGTCATGGATTGTTCTTATCCTAAGGTGTTCACATACAAAAAACCAAGTAGCAAATCGTCATGTTTTCTTTAATGTAAAGATCCCAAGAGCTTACAGAAAGAAGGGATAAATCCATACTCTTGCAGCACTGAAATGAAGCCCAGCTCAATTTTGTTTGGCGAGTTGCCTCAATTTTATTTTCAAGTAGTGTCTTCCAGTAGAAAGAAAAGATCATACTAAATGCATGATAGTTAGGTTTTTTCTCAGAATAAATTCAAGTGTCACTGCAATATTCATGTGTTGATGTTGTAGGAATGCCATGTGTGGGAAGCTGCAATGTGAAAATGTGAAAACTATGCCTGTTTTTGGAATTAAGCCTGCTATTATCCAGACTCCCATTAGAGGCACCACGTGCTGGGGTGTTGATTTCCAGCTAGGCTCTGATGTCCCGGACCCAGGAATGGTGAATGAAGGCACCAAATGTGATACTGGAAAGGTAATTAACAATTAAAAAGTGATTTCTTAAAGTAATAATTTGGGGTTTTCATGTGAATAAAATATTCAGCTGCATTGTTTCATGAATATTTATGGCCATAAATTTTTTTGATGCCTGTAGTTAATGCAAAACTGAGTGAGTCCATTGGTTCCCCACGCTGCCTAGTACTGCAGTGCACGTGCATAAAAATGTAATGAGCCTTTCATTTATAGATGAAGCAAAAGAAATTAAGTTTGTTGAGAGCCAGAATCTTTGCTCTGTCAATGACCAGGAAGAGCTAGGTGCACACAAATGCCTTTAAAACAACTTTGAATTAAAATCCAACTCAACTAAAAAGCCTAGAAGCTTAGCCCCAGCAGAGGAATGTGCATTCCACATACCCTTACTGTGCACAGTTTAATTGCTATTCCTTTACATTCAGACTAGAGACAAAAGACTTCCAGTGACAGTTCAGACCCCATACTGAGAAGCCTTTTGTAGAACAGATGTGTTTCTGTAGAGTTGGGGTTTATCACATAAGAGTACAGACTTGCTTTGTGGTCAGTGAGCAGAGCTGTGTGCTGTGGAGCGGGCAGCCAGGGGAGCGCGGCAGGGGGAAGAAGGGGTAAGCCAGTGAAATGCCATCTTGCTTCATTTGTGTGTATCTCTCTCTATTCCCCTAGATCTGCAGGCACTTCCAGTGTGTGAGTGCCTCTGTTCTGAACTACGACTGTGACGTGGAGAGGCAGTGTCATGGGCATGGGGTAAGCAGTGCAAGACCTTCCGCTCCTACTGATAGTCCACTTACAATGAACACGAAGTCTGTAAGTTGTCGTATAAGTGGCAGTATTTCTACGTGAGGACCTCTAACATCTTTGTTACGATAACACTAGATTTTTAGAGCCAATGAGTGTGCAAATATATAAACAAACCTTTTTTATCAAGATTCCCAGTTTGAGCCAGGTACACTGTAATTGTGCTTAATCAGTAGTGTCTATATACTAGTCTTTTTTGCACCTAGGAAGTCTTTTGCCCTTCTCTGTTTAAGGCTGTAACTAATGCAAAATAAAGTAATCGTGATGCTAGATGCAGTGATTAAAAAAATTCTGTGGGGTTCTTGAGGATGGGTTTTGCTATTAAAAGGTGCTTTTTGGCACTGTTAGTGAGAAAAGTGCCTTTAACAGTCAGCAAAAATTGGACCGAAGTTATGCAAGTTGAGCAAGTTTTAAAATGGTGGATATTGACTTAATTTTTCTGTTTTGTTTAACTGTAAAACTCTCTATAAAATGTCTCTGGGCAAGAGAGCCTATAACAGTATCAAAAAAATCTTTGGCAAAAGCTCTTAAGATGGTATTTTTTTTGCAAGGCAAGAAGAATTCCCAATTCCAGTATTACTAATGTAACTTGAAACTCTGCATCTCACAAAAAAAAAGAAAAAGCCATGCTCTTTAAGCCTTTAGGATAGCTAATCTTTGGAAGCTCATCCTGAACAATGCTGTGCTTGCTCAGTCATGTGAAATCTTGAGACGCCTGGCCAAGGACTGTTTAGAATTGACATGGGAGTTACCGGTTAAAGCTCTCCAGGCTGAGTGATATGGAAAGGAAAGAATAGACGGTCATGGCTACTGCATGCTGCTTTTAAATATATGGAAACTTAAGTTACTAAATACCATGATGTTTGTGGTGTTTAAATACAGGTGTGCAATAACAACAGGAACTGTCACTGTGAAGCAGGCTGGGCCCCTCCTTACTGCGACACTAAAGGCTATGGAGGAAGTCTGGACAGTGGACCACCTTATAATGGCAAGTAGTTGAAGTGCTGGTGGTTAGCTCTTCACCAGGTTTCATCTGCAAACAATTCTAGTTCAGGTTTTGGGCTCAAGGTGTTGCACTACTCTTTTTTGGGATGTTGGGAATCTGTAAAGAAACTGGACTGGTTTAATTGCCTTCAGGTGATTTCTGCCATCTCGGACCAAAATTTTCTTGGACTTCTCTATATCCAAGCTGGGAACTGAAGTCCCTTCCATTCTTAGATCCAAACAAAACATGAAATTTGGCTGAGGATGTGGGTTCAAATCCATGGATGTGAATTTGCATCTTCATAAGGACATGGTGCTTCTAGCAGCAGTGGCAGAGATGAGTAGCTGCCCTGTTCTGGTATCTGCAGGTAGTTGCATGTGCACCTGCAGTGCAGTCAGGACTAACATCTGGCTGAGGTGGGTTAGGGCAATGCATGTTGACAAGTCACTATTTTATTAGTGTTTATTATTTGAGTGCAGATAGCATGCTTCATTTGGTAGTAAATGTAAATGTAGTCCCTGCCCCAAACAGCTTACACTATAGAAGAGGTACATGATAAAGAAATGGGGAGATAGAGAGGTTTGTGACACTGTATTGTTTGCAGACTTCTGGTTTGCTTTTTTTTTTTTTTTGTGGAGGAAAAAGATGGGTTGGGGATGGCATTTTGTGGATTTTTTTCACGTAGTTTTTCCTCCAGGAAGGGTACTAGGTCAATGTTTGATGTGGCAAGGTGGCGTATCTATGTACTTTCAGGATATATGTATCTATGTTTGAATGTGAAGAGTGGGAATGTGGTGCCTGGGACAGGGGAATACAATTCATGCATGTGAGAAAGCAAACTGAATGAGGCTGTGAAGCTTACTTTTCTCACTGACAGTTTGAAGATGAAATAGGAAGCCAAATCCAAGCTGTAATTTGGAGAAAACTTGTGCAATGCCCATGTGGAGTATATAAAGATGGGACTGATGTAGTCCCTTCTATGAGCTGCAAGAATGATCCTGAAGACTGTTTTTCATAAGATGGTGTGGGTTTTGGGGGAAGATAGACACTATGTTGATGCAATAACAGACTGGTGAATCATGTTGGAGCATGAACAGATGCCTCAAATCATCAGACAAAAAAAGGGAAAGGGTTTTTTTGTACAGCCTGCAGTGGAGAAATTTGCTGCATGTAAAAGTGTAGAGATTGTTAAGAACCTGAGTTCTTTGCCTACAGCAAACAATGGTAGGAGAAGAGGAAGATTTAGGATTAGACCAAAGGGCAGAAACTCAGTTTTCCTCTCCTTCAGTTGAGCTCATAAGATCTTCACAGTAATGTAGTGGAAGAAAAATTAGGTATTGATCTAGTAATTCAATATGCTGTTAGAGCCCAGGGTATCGTGGCACACACAGTTCTTTCATCTTTGACCAGACAATCCCTCTGAAAAGATAATTAGAAAAGAATATATTTGGGCATATATCTTGCAGTCTTACTAGATTCTTTAGTTTTTTTCTTCTATGAAAAATGGAAAATAGTTGTAGAACCAATCCTACCAAATACTTACTGCTACAATGAGTCAAGTGGTGGTAATGCCGTGTAATACTTTTTTTCTTCTCCATTGTTTTGTCCCCATCAGACAAAGACACCTCACTGAGAGATGGCCTGCTGGTATTTTTTTTCCTGGTCCTCCCACTCCTTATAGCTGCTGCTCTGGCATTTGCAAAAAGAGACAGACTGAAGCGATCCTGTAGAAGATTAATGTCACGCTGCCATTCGTAAGTACATTCTCCTTTCACCTTCTCCTCTGCCCTTTTGAGGTAGTCCATAGATGTTTGTTTACACAAGCCAATGCTAAAGTATGGAGACATATTCCAGTCCCAAGATGTCAGGCAAAGGCCCCTGCATCAAATGATGCATTTAGCTTGCCCCAGGCAATGACAGAAAAGGTAAATTCATCTTAAATTGAGGGAGCAGAGAACTTTCTTTTTAGCATTATGGTTTTTGTCGTGCATTGGTGATGGGTTTTATATTTTTGGGTCCCACCTTTGGTATAAAGTGGGAAAATGAAGCTGTCATAGTCCTAAACAGAAAAAGGGTTATGCTGTTCATTAGATACATGTCAAATACTATGTTCCTGACATTTGATATGTGCTAAGATAGTATAAATCCATCTAATGGGTTCAAAGCGCTTGGATTCATAGCCTGCATAGTCATTCTGTCAAGGTTATATGCTCACACAGTCCATATCAATTGGATTACAGGTCACTTCAGTCACCACCTCCTAGAACAGAAACCGAACCGAGAGACTACCACCACAGAGGCTTTTCACACGGCATGCCTTATGCTCCCAGAAGTGTTCCCATGGTAGGAATGACCCACTTTTCATTACTTTATTTGCTATCTGTTACTCTAAAGTAACAGGTGAAGGCAGTTTATATAATTTTTGCCCTAATAAAAGCTTCAAAGTTACTTTATTTTTTCATTTCTGCAAATTGGGTTTTCTCTTTGCTAGGAGGCAGAGAAAATTATTTCCTAGGGTGTGTGGGGGGAACTCCTCAGTTTCCCAGTGTTTAAGCTTTTTTAATGGGCTGTGCTTGGCTTGCCAAGCAGTTTACCTGCTTTGCTACCCCCCTTCCCCTTACACTGGAACCCCCTGCCCCACCTGAGGAGGGGAACAATCCTTGCCAGCTCCTTAGCCCCACTCCTTTGCAGGTCAGTTATCTCTCCGAACGCAGTAACTAGCCAAAGCACACTTGCAGAACAAATCAAACACTTGTTGTGATCAGCCTTTCTGTTTTTCCCAAAACATAGTACTTTTCGGACTGCTGTTGCTTCTTTCTACTGAGTTTCTCAGAAGGAAAGAGCAACTCTTGACGTTTTCAGGTTTGTTTGCAAGTGGTCTTAAATGTCACTTTACTAATGAAACAAATACTTCAATTCCCTAAGTGCAATTTTGTGAATGTTCTCATTATCTTGTCTTCGTAGGGTATGGAACCAAATACCTTTCCTGTTCCATCTTACCCAGTTAACCAGCATCCTCAGCAGGCTTACCACCAGTCTTACTACCCATCTCCGCAATACCAGGCACTGCAGCCACAGAAGCTGCCGACAAGGTTGGTTGAGTTATTGCAAATAACAACTGGCAGTTGCGCTGATGTATATAGATTGTCATTGCCTTCATCTCCGTAAGCATTAGGGTATTTCATCATGTATTATATGCCAGCAGGACTGACCTTTTATTGAAAGAAGTTTCTCCTTCATTTCACACTGTGGAACTAAAGTGCTATTACCCATAGCATTCATTTTACATACTGTCAAAGCTACATTTTGATTAACAGGTTTCAGAATGCTTTTCTGGGGCCAGATTAGTCCTGCATACAGGTGAATAAAATGCTTCTCAAAACAAGCAGTTTAAAAAGAAATTACTCAAAAATCTGTCATTTCACTGATTTGTGAACGTTATTGCCAAGTACGGGATCATTTCTCATTAACTTTGAACAGAAAGTTTTCCTTTATTTTTCATTTTACTTTTTAATTGTATTTCTAAGATGTAATGCCTGTGCCATAAAAAATGCGTATCCAGAAAGCATGAGGTATTGAGAGTGAGTACTTCAAAATAGCTTGTGTTGGGGGGGAAAACTCATGGGGGGTCTTTAAACTATTTTGGGAAAAATGGGATGTAACAAACTGGAGTTCCCTGAGGACTTCAGGCAATGGAAAGCAGAGTCTGACCACAGCGTGTTTGAAATGAGTCTTCAGCGTGGAAGCTGAGATTGCGAGAAGCAGCTTAGCTGGCCGGGGGGAGTCTCCGCAGTGGCCCCAGGCAAGAGGGAGAGGGACATGCGTACGGATGTGGTCACCTGGACTGACGATGGCTTCTCTGTCCCCTTGTAGGCCGCCGCCTCCGCAACAGAAATGTGCACCTCAGGGACCTCCTCCGTCACAGCAAAAATGTTTACCTCAGGGACAGTATTTTCCTTCTCGACCGGCACCTTTGCCTCCCAAATAGCTTTTGGCTTCTTTGGAGCCTTCACATGAGCTGACCTGTTCACTGAGACAGAGCTGAAATTGCAGTTATCCTTCTTGCATTGAGTGGCCCATGGTAATCGTGGAAAGCCTTCCTTCTGCAGCCTGGGATAAGGCAAATGAGATACTGAAACAAGGAATGTAAAACTTTAAACTAAATACCTCTACCAAAGCTACAGGAACTGAAAAACATCTAACCCGTTCTTAGATCTGAGTATTGTGGCTTTGTAAACTGCAGCAGGGCTGTCCAGCTGGAAGTGGAGCAGCCTGCAGTTAAATAATCTTTAAATACAGCACTTGGGAGTTACTTTTGGTTTCCCCATTTCTGCGATGAACCCTGATAACAAAATTGTCTGATTTGTTGTCGTCTTTCTAAATGTACGGTGAAGAATTGAAGTAACCCATACCATTTTCAAAACAAGGAAATCTGGCCAATTAATTTAAAATTATTTTGCATGGACTGGAAAATGTTATCCATTTACACATTAATGGCACAAGTGAAATAAGGTATCAGTGTACTTTTTCAGAGGAAGATAAACATACTGTAAACATGTTTATGCATGTATATATGTCTATTGATGTGTAATAATGCACTTAAATTCTTACTTCCATGCTGACTGACACTAAGCTGTGCTATATGAGCACTAATTTTAGTGGTTTTAAATTAGTAATTGTGAGTTGCTAAATGAGAATCCTGTACTAATTTCCACTAATATCATGAATAGGCAATGAAAATAAAGGTACGAAAAGACACGGCCATATTTTGGTTTTAAAAAAACGGGGTGCTCTTAGGTTTTAATTTGGGTCTGAAGACTGAGTAGCAGTCCCTGCAGAACAGTGAGAAGCAAAAAATGTCTTATCTGCCTAGACCCCCTGAGCTTCTCTGAGCACTTTAAACAGGAACCTGTTGACTAATGCAACCCTTTCCCCTAACCCTCAAGCCTTTTTAGTGTCAGTCAGGATGCTTACAGGCTAACTTGCATTAGATCGGACTGCGATCTGTTTTGACCACTGACTAAAGTAGATTTTAAAACTGTTTCTGAAAAGCAGTGGGTAGCATTTGGTGTGCTGGCTGAGGAGAGGAGATCTGTTAATGGTGATACTGTTGTGCAGTGGGCAGAAACTGGATGCTGGCGGTCACAAACAGAAATCTGTTGCACAAACTTGCTAAAAGTGAAATAAGTACTGAAAAGAGTGCTTGGCTTTTTCACTTTGTGCTAGCCACTGAGTACAAACTCAGTCTGTAAAATCCCCCATAATATTGCCAAAAAAACCCCTTTTCCTCTGTATATACATATATAAATATATATATAGTGTTTGCATTTGCAGTAATAAAATACTTGAACTCCTGTGGTTTCCCATAAACTTAGACTAAGATTTATAACACTATTAAAATATGTAAAATGTCACCTAGAATATCACCAGACCTATTTGTGGGGGTCTTCTGTTTGTTCCAAGATAATCACTTCCTAATTCTTGTTGTATTCTGCTCAGTTTGGGCTGGCTGGCTGTAACAGTTAGCTTTGCAGTGGAGGGAGGCAGGGGTCCAGGGGAGCCTCTCCAGGCAGCTCGGGACTCGAGTTCGGAGGGTGGGGACGAGAGGAGGGAATCCAGGGAATGAAGTCATCTGAGAGAGAGAGAGAGACGTACTTAATTGTATTTGAAGCTGTATGTGTGAACTAAAACTATGCTGAAAATGGTGCCTTTTAACAGATAAAAGAGTTTTTATACTTCCAGCATGCTCATTAGCAATATTTGCAGGGTGGTGGCGTAGGGCAGTGAACACGTGGTTTTTAGAAGCGATCCTAGGGAAAGGAAATAGCTCAAATTTTACATGTGTTGAACACTGAAGATGACTACTGACTTTCTTTTTTAAAGTGTACGCTTATCCCTGTCCCCCGAGTAGGTCTGGAGAAAGCGGAGGCGATGTCCCCGTCCGACCCGCGTTAAAACCTCTGCGCTCCGCAGAACCGTCCCCGCTCTCTGCGCGGCGACGCGCGTCGCTCCGGTACCGTCGGGCTCTGACGAAAAGGGCTGTTACCGACCCCCTTTGTAAGAAACAAACGAGCAATAAAGATGCCGGTTTTGTACAAGGCGCTTTCGTCCGCCTCTGCTTTCCGCGGCGGGGCGGGGCCCAACCGGCGCAGCGGGGCCGTTACCGGCGGGGCAGAGGGGGCCGCCCCGGGCGCTGCTGCTGCCGCTGCTGCTGCTGCTACGTGAGTCCGGACCGGGCCCCCGCTCCCAGTGCCCCCCTATGCCCCTGGGGGTCGTCTCGCATGGCCGGGGGCTGGGGTCGGCAGGCCGCGGGTCTCTTTCCCCTCCAGGCTCGCAGGCGCTGGCCCAGATCATGGTCCCGCTGCGGCTGCCGGCGAATGCGACGGGGGAGGCAGCACTTGGGCAGGCACGTTGCTCCAGGGGTCCCGGGATGGGGTTGTGGAGGAGATGGTGGTCTCCAGCGGTAGAGGAGGAGGGGTACAGATGTGCTGGCAGCTGGAACGGAGGCACCACAGGCTGTGCCTGCTCCCTGGGGAAGCGCCGAGCCCTTGCGCTTGCCCTCGGCATTTGAAGACTGCCCTCGGAGCGTGCTTTCCCAAAGCCGGCGTTCCTAATTCTCACTTTCTCTGCTTTTTCCGCACACGCAAGGACACGGTATCCTACGTCCTCAGGATAGAGGGGAGGCCGTACACCGTTCACCTGCGGCAGCAGTAAGTTGGCCCTGGCGTTGCCTTGTCTGACCGCTGCGGTGCTCTGCCCGCAGCACGGGACGGTGCAGGGCTGTGGGGTGATCCCCACTGTGGGCGTTGACACTGGCACCGCTCACTCGGGCTCTTTCCAGCCTCTTTCCAGCTGCCAGGATGGTGCCCCGCTGCAGGCACGTCCCAAAGCCCCCAGGGAATGTGTGCGTGTGCGCCACGCACCCGAGTGCTGAGGGGTGGCAGAGGGCTGGAGGAGGGTTTGAGGGATGTTTGTGCCTGTGAGCCCTGATGCCAGCGGGTTCTGGATCGGCCAGTGCAATAGTGCAGGCTGCAGGACCTGGAATAAGCTCAAGAAACCAGGTAAGAGATATTGCTTTAAGTGCTTCACTTTATACCTTTCTTTTGTAGCGTCTTTTTATCTGAAGATTTCAGGATTTACATGTCTGATGAGAAAGGATCTTTGCGCTCTGATTTAACCCCTATCAAGGTAACCTTGGATTGCTTTGGTGGTTTTGTACTGTAAGTGTTGCAGTGTAGAGCTGCTGTCTGGTACGTGCAGTTCAACTGTTTGGGCGTTGGGTGAGGGAATTGCCTTCACGGCCACAGAAGGGGCTCCTTGTCCTCTGTCGTGATGTAGGGAGGCTGCCACTACCGGGGGTACGTCGAGGGCTTCCCCAGCTCGGCAGTGACCCTCAGCACCTGCTCGGGGCTCAGGTAACGAACCCCCCCCTCCCTACGCTGCCCTGCCCGTTAGTGCCGGTGGGCACAGCCGGGCCTTTGCCACGGGGGAGCCCAGGGATGCCCCGGCAGCCTCCGCGCCGTGGCTACCAGCGCCTGGTGGCAAATGGCTGGTGCCGTCACCTTGGCAGGGGCTTGCTGCAGTTTGAGAATGTGAGCTATGGGGTTTAGCCCCCGGG